CATCCCCGCTTTTCAAAATGATACCCCCAAACCTCGCAAATGCCATCACTTTGGTACTCAACACTGCTACAATAGGATCGCAACCACCACCACCGCCCCCACCCTCCAGGCTGCTTTCCTCTGTTACAACATTCGCAGCCTCACTAAAGGCGTCCTTCCCGAACCCGGGTCTAGCCCTACTCCCTCAACCGTACTGGTGGTGGCAGTCCGGTACCGCTGTCGATGCTCTCTTGGTTTACGGGGACACAACAGGGGACCGCCAATATGAAAACATGATCAAAGACACCATTTTGAGCCAAGCAGCCCCCACCAGCGACTTTATGACCATCGACGCGACAGGAAACGATGACCAATCCTGGTGGGCACTCGCAGCCCTAACAGCAGCTGAGAATTCTCTACCACAGTCCGGACCCATGCCATGGCAAAACCTCTCGCAAAACGTATTCAACGACCAAAAGAAGCGATGGACCGACAACCCGGGAAGATGCAATGGCGGTATGCGCTGGAAAATTGTCGAAGCCTCGGACGAAGTCGGTTACAAATACAAAAGCGCCATAACAAACGGTCTCTTCTTCCAACTCGCTGCCCGTCTCGGCGCCTTCAACAACGACACTGACAGTTTGGATTGGGCCGAAAAGTCGTACAATTGGAGCACCAGCGTCGGCCTTGTCGACAAGGACTTCAACGTCTACGACGGCACCGACGAAAAGAATGGGTGCGCGGATCTCAACCACAACCAGTGGAGTTACAATGTCGGTGTTTTTCTTTACGGCAGTGCGGTCATGGCGTCGAATACCAAAGACAGCGTCTGGATTGACCGCACACGCGGCTTTATCGCCTCTGCGAACCGGACATTTACGGATCCCAAAACCGGCGCTTTGTTCGAATCGAAATGCGAAGGCCAGACGGATCCTGCCAATGCGTGTAATAGCGATCAAGTTTCCTTCAAGGGTATTCTAGCGAGATATCTGGGTGCCACGGCCAAGATACTACCAGAGGTGCAGGAGGATGTCGAAGAGATTATGAATAGGGCTGCGAATGCGGGTCAGATTGATACTACGCAGCGGACGAGTAAGCCGACAACGGTGATTGATACTTTCAATAAGCTGGAAGTTGCGGGTGCTAGTTTGAGGTTGCAGGGCGTGAGTGGAAGTGATGGGATGATTGGGGTAGGGAGGAGGGGAAAGCTGAGGAGGAGTAGTAGTAGTAGTGATGCTTGAGCTTAGAATGTTTTAGCTGCCGTCGGCCTAGCCTTTCCGAATTGAACCCCAATTTGTAGACATATGATTCGAAGACTGCGCATCTCTTCCTCATCTTTCAGTTTCTCTATTCATCAACATAGGTAATGCTGTTCTGCACCTCATCTTCCGCAACGTCCGCAAATCCGCCTCGGCAATGCATCGCAATCCTTCGCGCGCGCCCCATCCCCACCCAGCATCCCGATCCCCTCCAGCCCCCGAATCTACAAATCCGCAACCCCGCTAATCCACGCCCAAAGCAATCTAGCGTCATCGCCCTCCTCAGCCAGAGATCGCAGGCGCGATCTCATCTCGATGCGCGGGAACGCTAGGTAACACGGGGATCCGGTAACTGTGGTGGAGGGGTGGATGTACCGTACTGGGTCAGCCCGGTGGCTTGCAGCGGCCCTCAACTCCAAATAGAGCTGTTGGAGCTCTCATGATGACGTCGCCCAGCATGTGGGATGCCCAGGATCTGGGGGGTACCTGTGGTTTTAAATTGAGCTTGGGGTGCTGCTAGACGTTGTTTGGTAAAATTGTTGAGTTCCAGTGTTTGTGCACCCTTTTTGACGTTTGATTGATCAATTGAGCTGTTGGACTGAATTGTACGGGAAGGAATCATGCCTTCTGTTAACTCGACTGTATGGACCCCAATGTTAAGACGTCGTGTGGCATGATGGCGGGAGAAGGCGCATTGGTCTAACGATTTCACGATAGGTCTTCCACGCTTATGCCTATGGCACTGCGTTTTGGTATGGCTTGCGAGGCTTATGCCGCGTATACGACCCCATCATGGTCATCGGCTGTGCGTTTCCCCTCTACTCCTCCCCCAATTTCGAGATTACGACCAGTGTATCTAACAATCCCAGGGTTCCGTCCTCCCTCGCAACTAAACCTCGCTCCCAACGACCTCGAAACCTACAACGTCCGCAACGACGGCTGGTGCCTCGTTACCCTCGCCCTTATCCTCATCTCGTTTACAAACGCCGTGCCGTTTGCGCCGTCTGCGAAGCGCAGCACTATTCCCTATGCGAAGGCTGTAGTGGCTGCCACGCTATTTCATCATATCACGACGGGGTTTGGTGCGTATCAGCATTATAAGTTGCCGAGCCATTATAATACTAGTATGGGGATTGGCGTGTGGGGAAATGTGTGGTTGACGTTGACGGGGCTTTTTACGTTGGCTTTGTTGCAGACGGATAAGGGGGATATGGAGGTTGAGGAGGCCGTCAAGAAGGTGAAATAAATGGGATAGGTGGGAATATGGGGTGTATTGCGAACGCTACTAAAGGGCTGGAAATTACGATGTCTTTCTGGAGACAGATCTTAGATTGCATGAAACATGGGGCGATGGTGATGCATGGCCCAAGAAAGGTGCTGGGTGATTGCGAATGAAAAGTCTTGACAGATTGCTGATGTGCATGGATATGATGTTGTACGAATTTTCAACGAGTAGATGTCCAAAGTCCAAGAAAAACAACGGTTTGCGTTCGACCAGAAAGTGTTGAGATTTCATTTGAGGTTTCCGTGAGTATCTACGGTAGTACCTCTCCTCCCTTCGGATACTGCAACGCGTACAGTATGGCGTAGGAACCATGCACTTCCTATCCTATGCACATTCCTACGCGCTGGTACGGTATTCGTGGTTGAGCAAAATAGAAGAGAAAGTTTGTCTAACTATACTCTGTGGAGGTTAGATGACCTGAAGATATTCACGGTAGTCGCACGGTATCCATTGACAAGGGGAAGAGCAGTTTTCCTGTTACTGCGTTACACCTAAAGCGTAGTTATCAGGTAGCATGAGCTCAAAGTCCTTTTTAAGCGGCGCAAGGTCTACACACGAAGAGAAGCCAAGTTTCTGGTAATGGGAGGTTTGTGAGGTCAAGTTGGGTGTACACCTAGAGACATCGTTTCCCTGTTGCAGAGACTCGCACTCTTTAGGTCTAGCGCCAAATTTGAGGAAGAGAGCGATTCATATCTTTCATTACCGACAAACAAAGGATAACAAAGAATAGCAACCGTAGTATATCTATCCTATAATTCAACCTTCTTCCACTAACTAGCAGCAGCCCAAGACAATGCAGCCCGACGGTGGTCAATCCAACGAAGGGATTGTAGTGAGTAGTAGGCGTCCATTCTTTTTTGCCCTCGTTCGAAACACAGAAAGTTCGGTTTTTTTGTTCCAGCAAAGCGATAAAGAAAACTTTCGGTAGTGTAAGAAAATCACGAGCAGAGGACCAATAAGAAAATGTGAAGTCAGCATTGGATATACGGAAATGTATATTGTATGCGGTCGCAGGGTACTACGCCCGTGACAAGCCGGGTATGTGGTATGTACGCAAAGAAACAAAAAACACCTAACGCCAATCTGTGTATGCAAAGGGTATCATCTCCCATGTCCATGTTCTCGAACACCCCGCAAAAGCACCCCGCCCACGCGGGGGGGTAAAA